TAAATCAATTTTCTAACATGCAGTGTCCCATCTTCCATCGATTTGAGTAGGGGGCTTCATCCACATGCCAATATTCCCAACAGAGCATCAAATTAAAAGGGTATGAGTTCTATTTGTCCTCTTTAATGTGTCTAGAACCCAAGTGTTACGAAATCAGAAGAAATATGTCGAGATGAATTTTGGGTAGCAAGGACGAACTCACGCAGGGATGATTTAGACATTCACTGCTATTACCCATCGAATGGATGTAAACGTTAGGTTAGACAATGTTTCTACTCAACCCATTATTTTCAGCTTCAGGATGCTTCAGTCCAGCTTTCCCCCAAACAGGACAACTTATACGGTTATTACCTAAATTTATAAAATTTAAGCCAATTTTTGGCCGAAAGCTCCGCCCTAACACAACCTAAGTCATAAGTAAACTGCAGAACTATATAACTGAACAAATAAGTCACGTGGGTTCAGTTCAGTCCATTAAATCCTAAGTAAACCAGACCTAAGCTTAGAAACACTTTAGATAACATGGTGTAGTTGGAGCCTAGAGAATGGAAAATTACAAAATAATAAACAACAAATGGTTGACTAATAATATAATTAAAATTTGGAAGTGATTACATAGGGTCTGTTTGCAATAGCTTAAAAAAACGCTTCTCTGCTTTTAGTTTAAAACAACTAAAATTAGTGTTTTTAGGTGACAACTTTGACTTAAAAAAGCATTTCTCAGCTTTTGTGTGAAAAATGTTTTTAATTTTTCTATTAGACAAAAAACACTTGTTTTACTAAACACTATCAACTTTTACTTTTCAACATCTTTTTTTTCCTAAAGACTATATATCAACATTTACTACTAATCACTTTTTATACAATCACTTCAAAAATTGACTTTTTTTAAGAAAAAACATTTGCAAAATCACTTTGAGGTATAAAAACTTAATTTCTCAATTTGGTACTACCTCTGTCTCACTATGATTGTCCTATTTTACCTTATCGGTCCGTCCCAATAAGATTGTCTCATACCAAATTTGGTAAAATTTGTGTGGATCTAAATCATTCTTACTTTATTCTTATTTTATCAATTCAATATCAACCACATAAACTACTTTTTATTAATTTGCGTGTCACTCCCTCTTGTACCATTGTCAGCGGGAGGAGGCCGTATAGGTCACTTGTGACCAATGAGCATGCATAGTCCGGTCAATGACAAATAGTCAAATACTCCGTATGACTTTTACGTATCAAAGTCTACGCTAGTTAAACACTTAAAGCCGCACTTTACTCCGGAAATAACTACTTTCTCAATTTTTTTCTCTTCAAAACTTACTTTTACCTGTCTCTTTTTCCTAAAGTTAATTTTTTTTATCGTAGTAAACACTAAACAATAAGCCACAAAAATAAGTTTTTTAGACATAAAATTCACAACTATTTTTGCTAAAAAAGTGGTTGACAAAAATATGACTTAATAACTATTAATGTTTTTTATCACTAATAGTTACGATATCACAATTTTGTTTTTGATCTTTTTATTAGTAATATTTTAGAAAAACCCCATTTTTTAGAGCAAAGATGAGAAAACTGAAAAAGAAAATGCAAAGGATATAAGTGCAATACAAATTACCTAGGTCGGAATTTAAGATTCTCTTTCGGCTCATAGTTGGACTTATAATAAAGTTAATTAACTTCATGATGATAATATTACTCAAATTAGTAATAGTACTTAAAATTTACATATTTAGAATACATAAACGTCTGGTCTTATTTACCCACCACTATAAAAAAACAGGCAGCTTATTATAGATTTTGTCACAGACAGTAGTTTATGATATCCGTGACAAAAACATTTTGTGACGAATTTTGTCACGAATTTTTTCGTGACCATTTAGGCGTGACAAACTATTGCCACGGATAGGGATCCTTGACAAACCGTTGTCATGGATTTGTCACGGAGTGATCCGTGACACACCGCTCCCCAGAGAAGGTCACTAGACTCACTTTTGTCACGGAATAAAGTCTGTGACAATATTTAATTTGTCACGATTTAATCCGTGAAAAAATTAGTAATTTGAATTTTTGAATTTTAAAATTCGTGGGCGGAAATTGAAAAAATTTAAAATTTGTAAAGGTTTGTCACGGATTATTCCGTGACAAAAAATTTCAAGGATAATGTATTTAACTTTAATGTTCATCAACTCTGAAACGGTGGATAGGTGAGAGTGTCCCTCGCAATCAACATAGAGAGGTTGAACGACAACTTTTAAAACATCTTGAAATTTCATTGCTAAATCATCAATATGAGGAATATGAGAGTTCATATCTTCATCCGCATCAGGTTGATAAAAGATTGGATCTTCACTTGCATTAGGTTGATAAAAGATCAGATCTTCATCCGCATCAAGTTGATACGAGCTCGAGACTTCAGGAGGATTGTTAAAGGTTGTGTGCGGTTAAACTGAGAAGTTGAGGCACCGTATACGTAACATTTTACGATCCCACGACATTTGATCATATTCTCTCCACCCACTCATCTCGGTAGGAATGTTACGAGACGAACCTACTGTTTGTGGTAAAAGTGATGCATCGAACGGTTCACCATGAGAAGTTCAATTATAATAATTGTCAACGAAACCTTTGTCGTAGAAATGTCGTACAACTTCGTCGTTGTCTTTAAATGTGAGATTTTTACACTTTGTACATGGAAATATGATTTTATCACCATCCATATAATTCTTTTGTTCAAGTACAAATTTAATAAACTATTAAACTCCATTAATAAATTCATCTCGAATTTCTCTCTTTTCACCATGTTTGTCATTCAATCCAACTTCTATTTTGTCTATACATTATGCCTAAATATTATAATCAAAATATTATATTAGATAAAACTATAAATTATGACCATTAACAATAATTAGTTATGTTTAATACTCCCTCTGTCCCTTAAAACTTGTCATCTTTCCTTTTTGGGACGTTCCAAAAAACTTTGTCACTTTCCCTTTCAATCAATTATTTTGTGGTTTCTGTAGTTTGTCTCTCCTCGGCACAAACCTCAACCACACAATTTTTACTTTATTATTCTCCGTGCCGATCAACTTTGGCAAAGTTTTAAGGGACGGAGGTAGTATATTTCACTAATTATTACTCCTTCCATCCCTTATAACTTTGCCAACTTTCTTTTTTTGGTTGTCCCAAAAACTTTGCCACTTTCCCTTTTAATCAATCAATTTGTGGCTCATGTTATTTCTCTCTGCTCTGCACAAAGTTCTACCACACAGTTTTTACTTTATTATTTTACGTGCTGGTCAAACATTGCAAAACTTTAAGAGACGGAGGGAGTATGTAGGAACATTAATATATTAAATTTCACCAAAGTTCACTAAAATTAAGTAACGTTCAAATAATATTATTAACTAATTAACTAAAATCAGTAAGTAACGTTCACAATACTAAAATCACTAAAGTTCACTAATACCATTTCAATTAACTAACAAACGTTTGAAATCCCAAAAATTCACAGTAAAGTAATGCTTCAATCCTAATTTAAATATTTATAAATCCTATTTCGAAGGCACTAACAATAATTGCTAAAATTTAGTATATATTTCTAAACGAATTTCAAATAATCATTCACTCATATATTTTATGTATTTGTTTATAAACATTTTAATTAACTACAAATGTAAAAGGCATTTTAATTGAATTACTATTATTGTTACTTAAAACTCTAAAAGGTATCGATGATTACAAGGCATACATAACCCTAATATTTTTATAAACCCATTTGAATCAACTAATATTTAATTTAAACTAATATTATCAATTGAAATCATAAATTAACGTTATTACCAATAATTGAAAAATTAATATATATTTCCAAACAAATTTTAAATATATGCACAATAAATTATAACATCACTAGCATTTGAAGTTAAATATATTTTTAATTAAATAACAACCTCACTAACAATTTTAATTATTTAAAACATAATAAATTAATATTTAGCATTAGAAAGATACATGAATTGAAATGAGATACTTTATCTGCATAGGGAGGGAAAATGACATAAGATTACATCCTTCAATCTTTCAACAGATATTGTATTATAATCTAATTGAATTTCAACTAGTATGAGTAGAATGAAACTGTTCTTGCATATATAAAAACCGTGTCACGGATTTGTCACAGATTCTTCCTTGACAAACACTATCCATACAATATTAACTTAGTGACCGTTGGAGATAGCAATTAATGAGTTTTGTCACGGATTTTGTCACAGATAAATCCATGACAACATAATTTTTTTTAATAATTTTATCACAGATTTGATCCGTGAAAAAGAGCCGGTATCAAAACAAATTACGCCAGAGTACATTTCCGATGACTAGAGCTGTGTTGTCACGAGCGTTGTCAAAGAATCAATCTGTGACAAAACTTTGTCAGGAATTTCGTCTGTGACAAAGGTTTTTTATGACATGGGAGATAAATATGTGAGAAAACCCTTGACAAACCTATCACGGACCAAATCCGTGACAAAATTACGTGACAAAAAACGTTATTTTTTTGTAGTGCATAAAAATTTATTTATAATATTTCTCTCAAATTTATTATCACTAAAATTAAACTTGTGATGGAACATATATATAACTAAAGTTATTAGGTGTATAATAATGTTATTATCAGTTGATCAATATTCACTGGAGTCTAAAACTCAAGATAATATAAGAATAATATGAGTAATAATTAAAAGTTACCGCCATGAATATGTATGTCTTTATTTCATATGATGAAGATTTAAAGTCAAAAAGAAGTTTATAAAAAGATCCATTAACCAATAATAATAGCAAATGAGAAAGTATAACAAACGGAGATACTCCGTAGATTGCAAGTTACAACTGAAAAGATTGATTAAAAATGATTCGATAAGTAACGCTTCTTAATTGGCAGTATAATTAGCCCTAATTATGTACCACTTAATTAACGGATTGAGTTTTTTGGCTTCTGGCGACTTCCTGCAGTTGTGTGCTCCCACCATTATTCTACTGTAAGGTTTCAATCGATCATCTTGTGTTATAATGTCACTATATATGTCTTCTTAATTGTTTTCATGAAATTGTAATAACTAATTAACTAGTAATAATTGGGACTAATAACTTGTGACAGGCGTTTGGGTAGAAATTAAAAGGTGATGATGATGATGATGGGAAGTGGGAAATCCATGTGGACCGGTCATCACCTGCTCGTAGCTGCTGTGACATTTCTTGGCATAGTTGTTCCGGCGAAGCAACATGATTATGCTGATGCCTTGTCCAAAAGCATTCTATTTTTTGAGGGTCAAAGGTCTGGAAAACTCCCCACTAACCAACGCATCTCTTGGAGAAGGAACTCGGCTCTTAATGATGGTCATGATCTCGGTGTATGTATAGCTCCATATCTATCTATTTATCTATCTAGCCATACATACAAAAAAGGATGACACCCCATCCTTGAGGGCCCCTCAACCCGACTGAACATTACGTTGGGAGGATGTAAGTTGACTATAATCTCAGTCTGATAGATACAGAGTTGGGCTCTATCCTCGATACTTGTAAAGACCCTGTGTATTTTTTAGCATAGTAACCTCTGATCGCATTTGACGGGATTCGAATCCGGGACCTAACCCTTGTGACACTCCCTTGCTACCGGTTGAGCTACCCCACCGGTAATAGCCATACATACAAAGTCCCTAGAGGAAGTTGCTAAAGAATTTGAAAAGGAATCTAGTATGTTAATTAAAATCATGATTAGAATTTATTGTGCATTATCAGAAACAAAAATTTACAAAGCCATGATTAGAATGTGCATCGGTGTAGTCTTCTCATTTCTCGCGAATCAACTATTCTTATCTGATTAATAATCAAATATCGTCATCACATTAAAATTTGTCCACTTTTCTTATTTAGTCGTCCCATAACATCTCCTTTCAAAGTACTCCATCTTTCCCAACTTAAGCTTTCTATTTCTATTTCAATTAAGAAATAATTAGCGCTTTAAGTGATAAATTAATCATCAAATATTAAAGTACACTCATAATATTACAAATATCATGAATGATGACTTCATTATTTTGTATACCCATCAAGACTACTTCTTAAAACATACTCGAATTACTTTATTTAATAATTGTCTAAATAGTCGTGTTATTATACAAGGAGAAGCTTAAGCGGGCACAGAGGTTATATAAAATTTCTTGTTGATTTTATTTTGTGAGATTAGATTCCATGATCGGACTCATATAATTAATAATTAGACATAATCATATACTGATAAATTGAGATTTAGGAATACATAGATTCATGGTAGATGAATAAACTAGAATACATCTTGTATCCCTTTGACCTCTTTCATTTTCAGATTCCTAACATGTAGAGATATCTGAATTATATCGTGTTATTATTCCATGAAAATAAACATATTCATAGAGACAGGGGAGATGGATGTGGAGCCCTAGTATTAGACAGACTTAAACACAAGTTCAACTTATCATTAATTCAATTAAAGGTCTAAGACTATATGAATTAAATTAATAATATACTATCTCAATTAAATGACCAATATTAGAATATAAATTAATTGATTTGTTAAAGTATTTGTCCCACACCAAAAAAAATTACTACGTATAAAATAATTGAAGACTATATTAAGAAGTAAATATCCTAACATATATTTCTCTGTCATTGGCACAATCTTAACCACATTTTCTCTATCATCACCACTCCACATTTTATATACTACTTCGATCAGTAATAATTGGTGTGGTGCATGAATAGGTGGATTTGGTGGGAGGGTACTATGACGCAGGAGACAATGTAAAGTTCCATTTCCCAATGGCGTTTACAACCACTATGCTGTCTTGGAGTGTGTTGGAGTATTGGAGGGAAATGGGAAATAATGAACTGGAGAATGCGAAGGAGGCGATCAAGTGGGGGACCGACTACCTGATGAAGGCCACAAGCAAAGTCAGCGACGGCGTGGTGTTCGTTCAGGTGGGTGACCCAAACTCCGATCACACCAATTGGGAGAGGCCGGAAGATATGACCACCGACCGGACCGCTTACAGCGTCACCACTGCCTCGCCCGCCTCAGAAGTCCCCGCGGAGATGGCTGCTGCCTTGGCCGCTTCTTCCCTGGTTTTCAGGAAATCTGATCGTGATTATCCATATCAACTTCTCCAGAGGGCCATACTTGTTTTTGAATTTGCAGATAAGTATAGAGGGTCCATCAAGGTCTGTGACGCAAAGGATGCTATGTGCCCCTTTTATTGTAGTTTCAATGGCTATGAGGTTAGTTACGTCAATCCCTACCCATCTCAATCTACTTCTCCGTCCCAAAATTATTTTCATAGTTACTATTTACATGGTCAACTCAAATTACTTTAATCTTTTATTTTATATTTCAAATTTTTATCAAACTTAATTTTTTTGATCAGACTTTATATCGGATTTGATGTAGTTTCTGAATATGTAAATTTAATTTATTAAAACTAACATGAGTGTGAACATGGAAATGCTGCTTTATCGTCAGTCAAACATCGTAAACCGAACTATGAAGATAAATATGGGACGGAGGGAGTATCTAATTAACTGACTACTACCTACTTCCTCCTGGTGAAATTTTCCTAGATTTGACTTACTCAAGTTTTAGAATCTCAAAATAAAATTGAAATGTATGATTGTGGTTGATTAAGAAAAATGTATATGACGTTAGTCAAACAATACTTTCTGAAATGAAAAATAACAATTTTTTAGGACATCCTAAAATTGTAAATTGGAAAAATTTGATTGAACAAAGAGAGTATTATTTTGGAATTCATTTATTACTCATTATTATTCTCATATTAATCCTTATAAACTCATATTTATAATTTGTTTTTGTTATTCAAAACTCTAGTTTAATGATTCGATCAATATGTATTGTCTAGTTAGATTCGTAATTTTAGTCCCTTTAATGTTAATTGTTTTGTCCATTATTTGTTCATTAATTTCACTTGCTTATAAATTTGGTCATCATCTAGTAGATAAATCTTTATGCTTTAAAGATTTTTCAACACTTTTAAAAAAACTATACTAGAAGTGATGCCGCTAGCGTGCTGAATTTTCGGTCAGAAAGTATAAATAAGATATGTAAGCATAAGTAATAACCCTCCCGTATAGACACACATATAGTACTGTCTATTTTTTAAATTGACGATTTACTGAAATACTTATACATCTATTAGAGTCTACTTTCTTACTTCTGTTATAAAATGTCAATTATTAAGTAAAAATTGTAATTGTAAATAATGTTTTATTGTATACAGTTGAATATACGGAAAATGTACTTGTGGTTGAGCCTGTTTTCAGATAGCTTCATGTGTTTCATTCTTTATCAAAGTGGTTGATGTGTTTGAATTCCGTTATCACAAGAGGGTCACGCCGTTAAAAATGTATGAAAAGGATCGTTAAAACTAACTCCAATTTTTAAAAGTGTCCGAAAAATTAAAAGAAAAATACCGAAAGGTGCGCCTCAATAAGATGACCGCTAGGCCATTTTTCTTTTTTGTTTTCAACCACCCTTATCACCAGAAAGTCCATCGGAAAAGTGATATTAGCGAAATCCTTTTTTTTTAAAAAATAGATCTGAAAAAATCCAAAGGCGAAGGTACGTGGTTTGGAGGTCATCTTGACGACGCGCACCTTTCGATATTTTTCTTTTAATTTTTCCGACACTTTTGAAAATCGGAGCTACTTTTAACGGTCTTTTTCAGACTTTTTTAATGGCGTGACCCTTTTGTGATAACGGAATTCAAACACATGAATCACTTTGATAAAGAATGAAACACATGACCCTATTTGAAAATGGGCTCAACCACAAGTACCTTTTTCCGTACTTTTCCCTAAATATAATGTATTAAAAAAGTGAGTATTATTTGGTAAACAGTTGTGCAGCTGTGAAAGAAATATAAGAAATGCCGTGAACTACAAATTATTCACCAAAAAAGAAAAGTAGAAGTTTTAATGGAACAGATGAAAAAGGAAAATTGAAAGTGCTTTTAGCGACGAAGGAAGTAATCTTTATTCTTTTGTTCTACCATTTCTATGTAGAATATTTTAATTACTCTACCCCCAAATAAGCTTTTGTACGGATCTGCCATTATATATGTGTGTGTGATACGGATTAACACAAAATAATTGTTGTGTAGGATGAGTTGCTCTGGGGAGCAACATGGCTCTTCAAAGCCACAAAAAATGCTTACTACTGGAATTATGTTAACACCAACGCTAAACAAATACAAGGTGATGTATCAGAATTTGGATGGGATGCTAAGAATGTAGGCATTAATGTTCTTATCTCCAATGTATGTATCTTCAATTCCATATTCTGGTTTTATGGTTATCTTTGTTAAGCCATCTGACATATATAAAAAGATAAAGTAATATTTTTAGTATGACACCACATTTCTTCATTTGTATCTTGCGGGGCATGTTTAGCCATACCCACCGACCGTAAAATATAAATTCTTGGGCTACTTTCTTAGTAAAATATATACTAGGTTAGATCACAAACGTTTTAGAATGACAGGGTTTACATGCAAAGTAAAGGCTGAAGTTTGCTCCTAAGAAACTAAAGTTAAGAGTATGGATGAAAGGGAACGTAACACCATTGTTTTACTCCTCTTGTTGGCCTAAAACAACCCTTAGCCACCCCATTCTTCATTAGTGACACATGTTGGGTGTGTCTCGGAAAAACGAAGAAATATTAATTAATAAAAATAATTAATTAATTTAAATAGCTAAAGAAAAATAGAAATAAGATGGAATAGAGTTTAGCCAGAGCTCGTGCTACGCACAATGTCCTTAAAACGTATTCGTCGCCTCCCATGGTGCTAGGAGCGTTGCAACGACCGTTTCCCAGGATACGGTGGCTAACGAACTAATGTTTGAGCACACAAACAAGAGTTCCGGTGAACGGGAACAAAGGCAGAACACTCAGGAAATTTCGGAGTAGCTGAAAGTATTTTTAGAGCTAAAAACTACGTGCAGATTGCTAGTGAACGTGTAAGAACGTGTGTTTGTTGCAAAGCACCTGTCAGCTATTTATAGAATGATTTGTTTTGTGTTAAATGGAGTGTTAATGGACCTGAACGTTGGACATCAATGATCAGTCCGTTGGGCATTGAATCGTCCATAAACTGTCCATTTAACGTTGCATTAAAATATAAAAACGTTGGGCATTAACTTTCGTCTGGAGCAGTTCTGTCCGAAGCCAGCAGAGACCCTAGCTCTCTGGTCCGGAGCAGTTCTGTCTGAAGCCAACAGAATACCTGTAAGGTGTTCTGTACGGAAGCCAACATAGACCCTCTGAGGTGTTCTGGTGCGGAGCAGTTCTACCGTTGAGCATTTCTGGTTCTGGGAAAAATAAAATGTTACGGGAAGAAACAAAATTTAAATCGTATCTTTGAATGATAGATTTTGAGACAACATTCATGTCTGCAGGTCGCTCGCACACACGAGTCATGATTTTTCTTCTCCGTTTTGGGAGGCACCCCCCTGCGCGTAAGAGAGAATCTTTACCTTTAGGAATCTTAACTCCTTAAAAGAGGCTTTCCTTTATAAGGAGGTGAAAATCCCTTAGTCTTCCAGTGTGGTATAAAACACACTAGAAACTCATCATTTTCCCAGTTTTTCCATTTCAACGAGTGAACTTCGAGAATCAATTTCTCATTCACCCGTTATCCGTTTTGAGCGTACTATATATCGAATTGTAGTCCTTAACAAGGACAATCCGAAACCACTTTGACCCGACCCAAATCGGAAGTGGACCTCACTCAAATAATTGTCCCAAAATCACCATTTAATGCAATTTCTAACACATTTTCCCAACAACACATATAATTGACATATGTACCATGTAGGTTGCCAATCATGAGATGTTACGAATCACTCGTTGAAGCTAAACTTTTCCAGTAGATTTGTAAGTAACTTCTGGGAAGCTAGATATATCAAATGCCTTAATTAGTCATCAATTTAATTGCTACTTTAGCAGATCAGACCTAACTTAGCTTTCTAGTCAATCTTAGAAAAGGGTAGATAGCCTACAAGCCAGTATATATGCTAGTGATAATCTTGCTAATAAAGGCAGAGAGACATATAGGTCTATACTCCTCAAAACTCTTTGGATTCTCAGTTTTGGAATAAGAACCATGTTAACACTCCTACATATATATTCCCCAAAGATCGGTCTTTCGAACAAACTGTTACATTATGTTGATGTAAAGTTTTAATAAAAATAACTTTATTTTCAATATAATCAACAATTTGGTGTATATAGTTTATACTTACAAAGTTAGTTTGTTGTGTCTATTTCCATACAAGTCAAATATCATTTTTAAAATCAATAGTTAATAGTAATGAAAAAAACAAATTGAACTATTAAAGTGATTAAATGACTTAAAATAAAATAAGTTTGATGGGGCAGACCATTCCCCTATGTATATATAATTTGGAAGGAATGACAATACAATGAAATGAGAGAGAAAAGAATGCATTTAGTGCATTAGTTTTCAGAGTTACGTCTGTATTTAATAAATCGGTCCGGACAGGTCGGCCCGGAAACCGGTGAACCGGTTCTTTAACCGGTCCGGTCATCCGGAGACCCACAAACACAGCCAAAAGTTCCGAAACCGGGAAAACCAAAATAACCGCTCGGACCCGGACCCATCCCGGACCGTGGCGATTTGGAAAGCAGTGAGCTCAAAAATACACCTTGGACGGGCCGGGAATCGATCCCTGAGTCAGCCGCCTAGAAGTTCTAGGAATAGTCCAAATCACCAACAAAAGTTGTGGGGAGTTGGGACATGTGTTCCTTAGGTTTACTTATAACGTACTTTAGAAGTTAAATTTTGTAACTAAGCATTAATAGGAGGTTATGAATAATATAAACGACGTATATACATATTAATTGTACTATTGGCTTATATATATATATATATATGACTTTCAAATATAGATTAAAATGAATACAAATTACTTTTAACAATTTATATAAGTGTAATTTTTCAAATTTATTTTCGAGCAAACTATGTTGTATATTTAATATTTACTATAGAAAGAAAATCATATGTAAATATTTTATAGATATACAAAATAGATGTAAAATAATATTGTTGATTCAAATAAGCCTGAAACTATATTTAAGAATATGATAAATGTGTTTATATTTGATTATATCTTAAATATTCCAAAATGCTTAAGAATTCTTATTCAACACTATATTGAAATATTCATATATTTTAATTTTTAAAACTAATACACACACATTTCGCGCACATATATACATATATATATATATATATATATATATATATATATATATATATATATATATATTATGCACATATACATATATACATAAAAATATAGCTAACTAAATATTATTATTATTATTTTATCATAGTGAAAAATATATTTTTTCATTTTTCAAATATTTTAATACATGTTTATTACTATAAATTATTATATAATGTTGACAATTGGTCCTATTTGGGGAACCATCATGTCTCGATCACATCCTTTGATAATTGTTGATATAGAAGTGTTCCTGTCGGGTCGGGGTATGGGGGCTCCTGGGGTGGGAGATTCCACCTTTTTGGATCAAATGATATAGAAGTGTCTTCACCTGACAATTGTAAAAGTTTCAACCAATAAAACCAATAAGGTAATTAATAAAATATACTATCCTCCGTTCCATAAAAGTTGCAACAGTTTGATTTTCACGTTTGCCAATGCGCAACTTTGATTGCAATTATATTTATTTACGTATTAATAAACATTAAAAAAAGTTAATATATTGGAAATTTACATTAATACAAATTTATTAATATTTTATACATAATATTTTTATTATATATATTATTAGAAAATCGAAGTCAAAATAAGATGTGTGAATAGTGCAGAAATTTCAATGTTGCAACTTTTATGGAATGGAGGAAGTACATCATAACTTATAGATCAACAACCCTAAATAAATAATTTAGCTTCATAGTGATAAATTGTGGAAGTATGAGACAAGTATGAAACTACGATATAAACAACTAATAGCACTTGATACTCAATGATTTTTATATTTATGGATACATAAATGCATTCAAGACACTTCTTTTCTGATTATTTCGTTAAATTTAAATTTAATGTGATAAATTGAGTAAGTATAAGACATATATGAAACTACCATGAAAATAACGAATAACACTTGATACATTTTGTTTTTAATCTTAGTGAGCCATATATGCATTCAATACAATTTTTTTCTAATTGACTTTAATTCATTAAGTATAGCTTATAAAGTAAATATATAACTTTCACAACATTCAAATTACTTCGCAACATTCGTTAGAAGATACACTTCTCATTTGATATGCTCCCTCTATATGTTATATTTTTTAGATGTACCAATGTACACGTACGGGCCTAGGCTTAATGAACATCCACATAACAATTACTCCCTCCGTCCCGGAATTATCTCCATTCTTTCCTTTTCGGTCTGTCCCAAATTTATCTCCTCTTTCCTTTTTTGGCAAAGAATTTGTGGTTCACAACCATTCTTACACATTTCTGTTTCCTCTGCACAACTCTTCACCACACATTTCTCACTGTCTTAAAACCCATGTTCAGTCAAATAAGGAGATAATTCTGGGACGGATGTAATACTTAATAAAACATGTATCACAATTAACCAACGTTTTGAATCATTATTATTTCGGGGAAAACATTTTTGAGAAATCAGACTATTAATTGTGTAGGAACAGGGCGCGCATATTATAAAATTCTATCCTTTGTATGATTTCGGCAGATTCTTCTTAATCAAGGCAGTCATGATTCCAGCCCCTTCATTGATGATGCAAATACATTTGTTTGTGGCGTACTTCCCCAATCCCCTAGCAAATCCGTATCATTCTCACAAGGTAATTTATGGTTTCTTTACGTAATTGAGGTTTAAATTATTTGAATTACAAAAAAGAAAACCAATCATTTACATATTTTAGGAGAAACTAGATTCATATATTGTTTGGATAATATTGGCTAGACATACTATTGTGGTATTCTGTTATAACCTTGTTTGGATTTATATTATATTCTGTTATAACCTTGTTTGGATTTATTTAATTATACTGCATAATTTGAGTCTTTATGCTCAATTTAGGATGTAACTAAAAGGACTAAATTCGGAAATTGTTGGGAATAAAAGAAATGAGCTAATATCAGCTAAGAGAAAAACAATTCTATTACTTTCAATTAGGAGTGAGCGTGATCGGTTAACCGGGGTTTGGTTAATCAATTATCGGTTAAGCGAGAAACCGGTTACTATTTTTTTTTGTACCATTATCCGTACCATAACTTCGGTTAACCGAATATCGGTTAACCAAAACTTTGATTAACCACGAATCGGTTACCAAAAGACCATAAAACCATAATGTAAAATAACAGACTTGGCTTTTTATTAAACATCTAATTTCGTAAACAAAAAATCATACATATTGACTTGGCTTTTTATTAAACATCTAACTTCGTGAATGAAAAATCATACATATTATTGAAAGTGGATGCCTAGTTATAGGAACAGAGGGAAGCCAATAATCTTCTTGAAAGTGGTTGCAAAAATTCACGATTTGGATAAGTTAATTATCATCTTGTAACTGGTGATGATGCACTTTAACTCGAAAGTTCTCAAATTCACCAAAGAGGTAAATAGTTAAATACTATACAATACAATAATTTTGGGAAATAATGGTGTACCCTATTGGATGCCTTGACGTTATATTTATACTAAAATGAGTTTAGTAAATTACACAGTAATCCTTATATAATTACATTATTACACCCCCTCAATCTGTGCAGAGGATACAACGTACAGATTGGAACATAAAAATTCAAGACGCTGACTAGATAAATTTTTGGTAAAAATCTCAGCTAACTACAACTGAGTAGGAATGTACTTCACGACAAGATCCCCATGAGCCACCCTCTCTCGAACAAAATGATAATCGATTTTGATGTGCTTGCTCTGATCATGCTGAATAGGATTAACAGCTAAGTATGAGGCAGAGACGTTGTCACAATGAAGTTGCACCGGAGCCGAAATATAAATTCCCATGTTAGCTAATAGTGACCTGATAAAAAGTGTGTCCTGAACAGTATGAGCAATGGCCCTGTATTCTGCTTCAATGGAAGATTTGAACACAGTGGGCTGCTTTTTAGACCACCAAGAGATGAGATTGGATCCGAGAAAAATAGCATAACCAGTAGTGGATCGGGAACTGTCGGGACATCCTGCCCAATCTGCATCAGAATAAGCCATAATAATAGAAATATTTCTGTCAGATTTGAGCCATAGCCCGTGAGTTGATGTCCCCTGTAAGTACCTGTAAATTCTCTTGACAGTCAATAAATGAGTAGTACGAGGAGCATGCATAAACTGGGAATTAAGATTTAACGGGCGACCATGGGTAAGAAGCTTTAAGTGACCAACATGAGAAATAAGCAATTTAGTACCATTAGCAACGCACACTTGATTTGGGCCAGTGTAAGGAGTTTTATAAGAAAAATACCTTCATGAGGAGTCATGTGAGCGGAAGCCCCCGAGTCAGGATACCAAAACCGAATCATTGTTTTCACCAGTAGGAAGTGCAGCAAGAGTCGGGGTATGAGAAGCTGTAAAACGGGAGCAGTGTAGCGCCGAGTGACCTGGAGAAGAACATAACTGACAAACAAGTGGGGAGGAGATTGGTAGGATTGATGCACAGATGGAAAAACTGCATAAATGTTATGAGTAGCAGAAGCAGAATAATAATCAGTATAATTACTACCAGAAATAATATTACACGACGCCGAACCTGGCATCCCGGGAAATGCAAGTGCTCGCGGCTGCTGAGGGGCTGGCTGTCCCGGATATGCACCATACAATGGTGGTGCTGCTCCATACGGCTGTTGGTAGTAACCTCAACCTCCTCGTCCTCTACCCCCTCGAGCCTGGCACCCTCGCTATCCTCTACCGCCAGCAGGCCCTCGCGGAGGACCACCCCCACAACGTGGAGCACCCCCTCGGGCTGCATGAGGAGCAGCAAACGCCTGATGAACTGGGGCCGTTTCCTGAGCTTGGATGAATAAATTACGTTGCTCTTGGGCTTGTAGTATAGGCCGTATGTCTTCAAGAGTGGGTATCCCCGGCATGTAGTCGATGGTAGTAATGAGAGACTCGTAGCCACGGCCCAAACCAATAATAGCATATTCAATTAAATCATGTGCACTCGCAAGAGAATTGATGGCCGCTAAAGAATCTGCTAAAAGTTTAATTTCTAGCAAATACTGATCCATAGTCTGGGAGTCTCTTTTCACATGAGATAATAAACGTTTCAATTCAATGGAACGAGAAATACAAGCAGACATGAATCGTTTCTGAAGTCTATCCCAAATAAGGTGAGAAAGTTTTAAATCATAGACCTCCATTAAAACATCTCTAGCTAGTGTAGCAAAAAGCCATGATCTGAAAGTTTGGTCAATTTTTAGCTAGTGATGATAATCAACATTGGGAATTTCCTGTCTGGACAAATCATATATAGTAGAGGATTGTATCTGAATAGACCCGTCAAGGATACCCAACAAAATGTGAGAGACTAAAAATGATTCAGACTGAGTTCTCCAAGGCAAATAATCTTCAATCGAAGATAAGCGGGTAATCACAATTTTACTCACATTAGGGGTAGAAAAAGCCAATTGTGATGCCAGTGAAGATAAAAAACTTGGTGGAGTAGTAAAACCTGGCATCGACGAGGTCACGGTTGCTGCAGTGGGGTCGACCCGAGCTGTCCAGAAAAAGTCGGGCCGGAGAAGATGGTGGACGAGCTTCCAAGATCCTGGAATACCAGAGGCGGTGGAAGGCTGATTAGTGGGATGGAAGACCCTGAAGGCGCCCATGTATAAGGCTCGGGCATGTTAAATAAACGGTAGGAGTCAGGCGGCGGAACTCCATGTAGGCGCTGCGATAGGGAGGCCGCTAGCAGAGATCGTGTCTGCGCGGCTGGGAATGGACCGATCGGCATGGATACCTGCGAAAGAGATGCTGGACTGCTGCTCGAACCGGACAGTGAGTGAAAATCACCGATGAGCACTGCCGTAGGGTTTGTAGATGTGTCGGAGAGAGACTGCACAGCCATGGCAGGCGTCGTGCCTGTGGCGGCCGTAGGGTTGGATTGCCCAGACATTGAACGTGAGAAAAAAAAATTAACCTAAGCGTCTGATACCATATATAAAACAATAATTTGGGGAAATAATGGCTTACCATATTGGGTGCCTTGACGTTATATTTACACTAAAATCAGTTTAGGAAATTACATAGTAATCCTTATATAATTACATTATTACCTATAAAGTAAATCATCTTGTCTTGTTATTTAACATATGGAGTATTTTTTAAAAATCAGGAGTTAAATGATATTTTAATAATCGTAGTACGTCACTTGAGGCATGTTGATTGTTTACCATAAAAAAGCAGAATAGGAAATCCGAAGGAGAAAAAAAGAGTCAAGTCAAAACAAGAAAAACAAAAAGGAAAATCGAGAAGAAAAAAAGAACAAACCAAACAGAAAAAAGTCATGTATAGAACCGTATGATCATCGATGGACTCAAACATTAAATGTGAGTTAAATCCGATGACAGAGAGCAGTTCTTCAGGATTTCGGTAAACTGACCGTAATGGATTTCAAAATGGTAAATTAACCGTGAACCATTTTCTGCTTTGGTTAACCGTACTGTGATTTTTTTTTAAAAACGGTACGATTAACGTAACCGGAAAAGTAAACGGTACGGTACGGTTACCCACGGTTACACAGTTATGGTTTTTTTTGCCCACCCCTACTTTCAATAATAAAAACAAGAGACATACTAGTTGTAGCTAAAAACTCTCAAAAACAGCTCACAAATCTCTCAAGGATATTAACAACGTTGTGCTATGATAGAAAAGATGTACAAGCTTCCCTATTTAAAGGACGAAAACTAGGTAGGACTATACGAGGAAGCTAGAAGGAAGGTGGGTGGAAGCTTTCTTAACATGGATTGTTCATTTCCATATCTTCAAAGAATTGAGTTCTTTAATTTGTTTGTAACTGAATATGTTCTAGAATTTAAATTCTTCAATTCTCCACTTCCAAGCATATTCAGAACAAGTATCCCAGTTATGTCTTTTCATTGCTCTTGCTTATCTCGGGTCACCACCTTTGTTGTCCACTTTGCTTTATCTCTATGAGACATAACTTCTTGAAAAGTCTTCGATTATCCATCTTCAGTTAGCAAAAGATATTCATATAAAGTGTACCTTTTCGATGGTATATGGCCTCGTCAGATCTACGAACATTTGGATCCATATGAGAAGAGCTACCATTATCTGTGTGTGGGGAGTAGGGTTGCGGATCCCTCCTCCTCCTCCTCCTTCTCTTATGGCACTTTGTCATTGTTTCTCAAGGACAATTCTGATGCTTCATTTGAAACTAGAGAATCCTTATTTGACTTCTCAAACATCGTGGGGTTTTCATTGTCTTCTTATGTCAAATTTTCGTGGAACACATTTTTAATCGCTATTGTTAGTTTATTGTCTTTCTCTTGCTCGTCACCTGCAACAATAAGGATTAGTGCATCACATACCTCATTAGTCATTGTACATTTCTTTATTTTTGTGAAGTAACAATCGTTTATGGCCTTTAACATGATATCCTTGGCAATATTTTCAAGGTTGTACTTCTTACCATCTTCTGGAGACCAATTAGATCTGTGTTTCGTAATCATCTGAAGTTCAGTTCCTACAACTTTGTATATTTGGTTTATATTTTGGACTTCTGTTGGTCCAATGGTTAGCACATCGCACATCTCGTTATGTAGAGCAGACAAGTGTGCCTGCATACGTATTCTTCAATCATTGAACTTCTGTACTGAGAACATCAAGTTCTTGGAAAATGTGTTATCCATGATAAAGATAAATAAATATCACAGCATAAAATAAGTGGATGTTTGTTCAAAAGGTAACCCAAAAGATTATTAGAACAAAGAGGTTCTGATACCACTTGTTGGTATCGGTTAATAATAGAGAAACCGTCTAGAGGGGGTGAATAGACTATTATTAGTTTCTCTTTTCTCGTATGACAGAATATATCTGTCTCACAGAATTGGCACAAATTTTGACATAAATGGTCTGTAGTGGAATAAGTTATTATTGTCGGGTAGCCTCTAAAACACTAAGGTAGATTAGCCTTTTGTTTCTCTTAAAGCAAAATCTATCACAACACAGAGTCCACGCTCGTTTGAGAAAACATATTTACCTAGTACAGAAAAGTAAAGCAGTAAGTAAATGACACTAGAGAACTTGAAAAGTTGTTCAAGTAACAACATGTTCCTCTAGTCCACTTTTCAACTAAGAACTTGTAAAGTTGTTACAAAGCTTAGATTCCCTAGCACTTAAGAATCTCTCCTCGTCTTCTTCAAGTCTAGTTGCGTTTTTCAACTGAGATGCAACTTTGCTTCTTGATGATTGACCGTTTCACTAAGCTTCTTGAAGTATCACCACTTTACTCTAGTTACTTTGGCGCCTCTTCTTTTACTAGAAGTATTCCTTTGTAAAGATAACAAAGTTTTTCCTCTAACGTCTTCGTATACGATTTGTTGATGTAGCTTTCAGAGTAGGTTGAAGAACAACGACAAACTTGTCTTGATAGTTAGATGTAAGATTTGGGCTATGAATCTCCCAATCTCTTGTTTGAATTCTTGCGAATGATTTGTAGTTTGCTCTCAAGAATTTTTACGCTGGATTTTAAAGTTCGTAGTTCATCCATTTTTTTAATTGTATCTATTACACTGATAGTACACTTTCCGTTGGAGTGTATCAGACAACTTCATTAAATGTTTGTCCTATAGACTTGATTGTGTCGGCTGCAATATTCTCGCCAACTTATTATTTCGGGATATTTAATACTCCCTGTGTTCCGAAATAATTGTCTTGTTTTAAGTTTTGGGATGTCCAAAATAATTGTCTGGTTTTCTCTTTTGACATTAATAAGTATGTGGCTCATACTAATTCACCTTTTGTCTACTCTAATCTCAACCACAACATTTACCTTTTCAACCACTTTCTTAAAACTTGTGTTAAAGCAAACAAGACAATTATCGGGGCGGAGGGAGTATTATTCTCTTTGATGGTGCAGTCAATCATGCGCCTTAAATATCTCAACGGGTGAATAACATTAAATGCTTATTTAATGTGCTCCTTCGTACAATCGCCCATTAAAACTCTAACAACCTAGGTTTTTCGGTGCGAGGCCTATTCTGTTGAAGGCATTTCTGGTAGAACCATCTCCGCCTGAGGCCAGATTTATTCCCTACATATTTGTCTGGTCGTTTCTATCTCTAGTCGAGATTCTGCACGTGAATCTGAGAGTCAACTAACTCTAGTACTTTTACAACGAAAAATTCTAAGTACATTTTATCTATAGGGGGTATTCACAATACCAAATTACACAACATCATCAAAATCTAAATAAAAATTATTCGTAACAAGTATGTATAGTAGGATCCTTACTAGTCAATATTCTCTCTAGAATTTCAAACTTGAGTGGGGAAGAAGGTGATCACTTGATAAGATATCATCACTGTTGATATTTTCTCCCCAAAATGACTCTGGAAGTTTATCCATATTCAACATGCTCCAGACACGCTCCATGATAGTCCGGTTCATTCTTTAAGCAACGCTGTTGTGCTAGGGAATTTGTGGTACTGACTTCTCATGTTGAATGCCATATGTTCTGCCATATGCATCAAACGCCTTGGACGTATACTTGCCTCCATTATTAGATCAGAGACATTTCAGCTTCTATTCTATTTCACGCTCTCCCATGACGTGAAATGACTTGAATCACTCAAACACCCGGTTCTTCATCTTGAGGAAATACACCCACACTTTTTGAGAAGCATCATCGATAAAAGTCAGAAAATATATGCTTCCACCGAGTGATCCAACCTCCATAAGACCGCAGACATCAATGTACCGTTGAAATATAATTAAATAAGACTCAATGTTGCTTACCAAATAGACAATGACCAAAAGGACCTAGTGCAACGCTTTTTTAAACGTTGATAATATTATTCTTCATAAATGTAGTCCACCCTTTCTCACCCATGTGATCGAGTCTTTGGTGCCACAGATCCTGAGGAGCCTCCTCTACCTCCAACGTTGAGGTCGTTTGTACAAATTCTCACATTTATTTTATATAATGTGCCACAAACATGTCCTCGAGTGATTGTCAAAGCGCCCTTTGAAAATTTATGTGTCCCCTGCTTAAATGGTTTTCATAACCTTGTCTATCAAGAGATACCACTGATAGGAGATTGAGCCAAAGATCTGGCACATGCCTAACATCCTTCAAAGTGATTGTGCTCCAAGAACATGTCTTTATTTGTATATCACCAATTCCGGCTATTCCAAATGAACTGAATGTTACCCATCCTCATTGCTCCAAAGACGTACTCCACCTTTGTAAGTTGTGAATAAGTACCCGTGGGGTAGTAACATGGTAGGATGTTGTCGTATTTACCACACATTCTGTGTCTTCTTTTGTAACATGAATGCATGTTTCATCATGAGAAGTACAGTACTCTACATCACTTGAGATTGTGATGAGCACTTAACCACCTTTTTGTTCTTCGCTTGAGAATTACTCTTTCCCCGCTACTCTAGCCATTTGTAGCAATTCTGCTTTATGTGACCCTCTATACCGCAATGGTGGCAAATATAAGAAGGTTTACGATCATCCGATGATATCCCTTGACTTTTGCCTCTATTTTTCCATTTTCTCTACTGCTTCTTCATTTATTTCCTTGTAATCTTCCTCGAATCTCTGTCATAAGGGCATCAGTGTGATCTGTGCTCAAGTCTTTCCTTCTTGCCTCTTCATTGAACAATGCATCCTTGACCACACGCATGGTTAGTTTGTCATCAAGGGTTGAGCTGTTGAGAGTAATAACTAATGTTTCCCAACTATCGGGAAGGGAACAAAGAAGTAGTAGAGATCACATTTCATCTCCAAATGACATTTCTACATAAGATGTTCGGAAACAGAAGTTCAACTTTTTAGCTTCATACTGACAGAGCGCCTCATCGGTATGGACTTGTTCTAAGCGGTCGTGGCCTGGTAAAAATATCTTCTAACTTCTTCCAAATAGCATAAGTGTCGTTTTTTGTGCAACATGGTGGAAGGCTCTTTGGTCAATCCATTGTCAAATTTGACCAATGGTTTTTCTATTTGTTTTCTTCCATTCCATTGACTTGGGCGGGTTAGGATTAAAACCCTTCAACTCTTTTGGATCAAAAAGTTCTTTACAGCTAAGGATCCATCCGAAGTTTGCATAGTGTGTAGTTTGTAGTCGTGAGCATAACCATAGCTCTGAAAATTTGATTTTTTGTTTCAGAAAAATTGGAGCATAATTGTGAAAAATAAGCATCTTCGTTGCGTCCGGAACAACCGCAAATGATAGGGTACACACTTTCAGAGTCAAAATACAATTTTCGAAAAAATTTTAGGTGGAAATTATAATTTTCAAAAATTGAGGGATCAATTGCAATTATTCAAAATCATAAATTGACCAATAAGGTGGCAGATGACGTGGCTGGTGATATGGCAGTTGTCTGGTGGTTGACGGGACGCTGACCAGGTGAATGACGTGGAAGACTAATAGATGAATGACGTGGCTGAAACGCAGGCTCTGCAGGCTGCGTGTTGCTGACGTCAGTCTTGACGCGGTCTTCTTGTTCCTTGAGATCGACTGTACGTACAACGCTTGACGACGCAAGCTCCTTCCCGCCGACGTGTGTGTGGCACGTTGGGTAGCTTCTGGTGGCCGGTTTTTGCCCGACAATACCAGTTTTCTTCTCTCGACGAGATGAATCCAACAGTGTATTCAGATATCAATTCCGAGCAAAACTTAAAAAACACAATTTTTCAGATAGTAGAATTTTATATGAAAAAATCTTGGAAAAATACGAAAAGCTCAACCAATACCACTTGTTGGGAATAAAAGGACTGAGCTAATATGAGAGAAAAACACTTCTATTAGTTTCAAGAATAGAAATAAGAGACATACATGCTCTAACTAAAAATTCTCAAAAACACATAAAAATTCTCTCAAGGATATTCACAACTCTTCTTGATTGTGCTACGATGATCTATTATCTGATATACTTGATGATAGAAAAAATTTACAAGCTTCTCTATTTTGATAGTTAAATCTTTCGGGCCTTATACAGAGACATTTCATCTTTAAGATCCTGGATTTATAATTCTTCAATCTTTCATGTACTAGATTGATAACATTCCAAAAAATAATGGTATGACACCGAATTAGAACGGATGTGACTTGAATTTGCAAACAACTATAGGGGATTTGGAACAAATTTTGTTGGGTTTGATAGGGGTGATAATTGAGTACTTTGATTGCTTAAGGATCATGTATATTCACTTTCCGAATTGATATTTCTCTCATATGCTTGTGAAATATCAATTGATTGCAACAAAAGTACAAACTAGCATATTTCTCTCCATTGATTGAGTGGTTTGTTCCGGGACAAAAAAAAGTCAATCAATGGAGACATTTAATTAATTTTAACATAACTTGTTTACATTATTACACAATTCAATGCACGAAGTAAAAAATCACATGTTTGGTAAAGAGTTAGTTGTAAGACTAATAAACTAAATTTTTGTGATACCAAACGGGCTCTACATGTCATTATATCTCATTTTTATACACAGTATAATTATATATATGTGACGGGGGGTATTGATCTTTGTACAGTTATAGTTGTTAATATGTGTATTAAAAAAATGATATTGGCAGGGGGGCTTCTCTTCAAAGAAGATGACGTGAACATGCAACACGTAACGGGGATATCATTTCTGGTGTTGACGTACGCTAAATCCCTGGATAAATCTGGCAAACAAATTGATTGTGGTAGCAACTCTGTTGTAACTTCAGCGGATTTGATCAAATTTGTTAAAAGTCAGGTGGACTACATACTAGGAAGCAATCCCATGAAAATGTCATACATGGTCGGATACGGTAAGAAATACCCACAATACATACACCACCGCGGATCTTCACTGCCTTCGCTTCACAACCATCCAGACTCATTCAGCGGCGACGATGCGTGGCAGATTTTTCATTCCTCGACCCCCAATGCGAACCAGTTGACAGGAGCTCTAGTTGGGGGCCCTAATATTAATGATGAGTATACTGATACGAGGTTGGACTCTCAACATACCGAGCCTACTACTTATCTGAATGCCCCACTTGTTGGCGTCTTGGCTCATTTCACTCAGCACTAGCTTCTTACTATATATGTATGGCCGGCCGTTTCAATTTCACTTCTATCATGCTTGACTTTTTCTCTACCAAGTTTTAATTTGTATTTTACCAAAGGAACAATGTACGGACCACATGCTCGCATGGCACATTCGCACTTGCCACTTTAGTTGGAGATAATGACAAAAATTAAAGACGCTACTTATGACTTTTGAGGAAAATATAAATACTAATTTCTCTACACTAAAACTTGCCTAAGAGGATTAAACATTTATTTTCAATCCTAAATACCCCTAAGTGTATTAAGAGAAATGGTCTCAGTTTTAACTCGGATCCTAAAACAAATAGGATTAAAACATTCCACATATACGCGTATAGGAGTAAGTACTTTTAACTCAGATCCTAAATGTAATGCCCGTACTTTTTATCGACTTCTTATGTGCTAATTAATTATACATGATCATGTTATAAATTATCGTTTGAATGCTATATATGTGAAGTATAGGGATAGCATGTGAGTATGAACTTTGTGATGATGATATTTGAACTTACATGCTTGTATTATGTTTGAACGTGACATGTGACAGTATCCGATGAGCAATGAAACTACACCGTAATAATCATTCGTATTATTGAATGTAATGGTATATCAAGTTATTTTTCAAGTTAGATAGTATTCGAGTGTTTAAAATTTAGTTTAAAATGTCATTGCGGGTCTAGGATGTGAACGGTAACAATCAGGGTCGGTTTATGGCGAAAAATGACGTTTTCGGCACCCGATTGGCCAAAACAGAAGCTTTGGGGCATCAAAAACACAGCACAACCGGCGCCGGTCAGGGGCAAACCGGCGCCAGTCGGGGCGATTTTTGCCCAGGTCAGTGTACGACGTATTTAAACGGGAAAAATCCCTTTTTCCCCAAAACGAAGCCCAGCTCGACCCCCTCTCTACAAACTCATTTCCACACCCTACCTAGACTGATTCAAGCTCAAACTAAGTCTATTATTCATCAAGAATCATCACTTGGTAAGATTTTACACTTTACATAAAGTATTTCTTCTATATTTATATCTATAGTTCTTGGTTGTGGATTTTGCTAGGGTTTGTTGATTTAGAGTTGATTCTAGGGAAATTAATTGATTTTCTTAATATTAAGGTTGATATAGAGTTGTTCTTCATCCTTGATTAAAAACTTTTGTGAAATTTTAAGTATTTAACTACCCAAAAATTATACCCAATTTAATGAAAGAATTTGGGAAGTATTTTAATGATTAGTGGCTGATTCTAATTAGATAAATGGAGTCCTTGATATTATGAAAGGGACTTGATAGATGATGAGTCTTGATTCATGAAATTCAATCGGATTTTTAGTTATCTAGCCACCCCGAATCTATGCCCGATTTGGTGTAGGACGGGGGGGGGGGGGGGGGGGGGGGGGGTTCTAACTTGTAGGGGCTGATTTGTGAACTTTCCCTCACCTTAAGTCTAAGGATTTTCTAAAAGCATGAATTTAAGTTTGATCAAGTATAAGCTTGTGTATTTATAATTATAGTTGCTCATCGAAGAACCGTTGCTCATGGACACCGTACACGCACACACAAGGGCAAATACTCCGCGTGAACCAGGTAAGTCATCACCACCTATACATGATAGTTCTAAATAAGGTGTGGAAGATTAGCTAATGATATTTCGATTAACAAATACAAATATTGATCTTTTGTTTTGATTATTTGTTAATATTTCTATACCGTATAATAGAATCAGTAAGAAATAATATAATGAGTATTATAATATTATTATCATATTTATATCACATCAATGTGTCAGATATTTTTATGATACCACTGTGTCACAAAGCCTAATGATACTAACGTGTCATAATCTTGTATCACATTAATGTGTCACAACTTACCGATCGCGACACTATAATGTTTTACTAGCAGTGATTCTATATTTAGTGTCGTTGGCCGTTACTTTTCCCGACATTTTTTTAGTGTCACAATAGAGAATTCATCATCACCAAGGTCTATATAAAAACTCTAGCTCCTTTGAAATTCATAATCATATCCAAGGTCTATATAACCGCCATAAGCGGCTAAAAACGGAGGTTGAGAACGGCATGCCGCCTTTAGTCGGGCCTAGCAAGCACGCGAGGCATTTTGTTGGCGTATATTTTTGTTAATGAAGCACCAACAAAAATATTTTAGCAAAAAAATATTACGGAGTATACGTTAATGAGGCATTTTAACGAGTATGAGTATTTGTTTTTGCAACATTAACAAATAATTTAAAAAAAAAAATTACGATGGAGATTTTTAATATATTATCGTGAACATGCCAAACATATCATTCCGAAGCTTTTTAGGCATTTGTCCATAAGAGGCACATGGATCTTGAGGATGATTTACGTCGACAAAAGAAAGACTAAAATTTATCTGTTAACTTCTTTAGACGTTACTCGTCTTTTATTATTGGGCTGCTCAATATGAGGTTGTGAGAAGCTCTCACCACTGTCACCCTACTGCCGATCCTTCCTAATTTTGAGCCTGAGTCGAGTTTCATAAAAGACCCCTATAAATCATTTTTGTATTTTACTTCATACCACGTTAAATTTATGTAGAAGTAAGAGTTGAAATACTTCAAAAATAACTTATTAAATAAAGTTCTTACATCACGATATAGCAATATTATTAAATGTGTTATAAATAACTAATTAAGTACAACTCCCTACACGCTTATTAAATTTTGATATAATGATAGAAATTTTGGAGTACATTTTTTATTTTCTCTAAAAAATAATTAGCATATAACTTGACTAATTGAAATCCAATCACTTATTTAGTGAAGTAGTGTGATAAAACATAAAAACCCAACCCTACTAGCTAGGTTAGTTCCAATTTTATTATACACTATATGTTTTTTAAAGCTAAATTATTTACAAGCATATGACATGTATGTCGTCGTGAAACCGATTTATAGTTACTACGTATTTTATAACTATATATATTTATCAACAAGAACACATTTGATTAAAACTTCCGTATGTAGCTAAATTTATTCCATGGACTTTGGAAGATTCAAACAAAATAAAAAAACGAGATAAGGTCACGACTTAATCATAACAAGAGATCAGATTAGAACTAATCAGCTAACAAAAAATTAAAATATCTTCTTTTCAAAAAAAAATATCAGTAGAATCCAACAAAGGATAATACATTTAGAGCCTGTTTGGTAATACCTAAATCGGCTGCATTGGCTGATTCTGCTGAACTTTATGAAGTTCTAGTTCGAGTACCTGTATTGGTTGATTCTGATGATTTATGAAGAACATATATTTAAAAGATATTTTAATAATAAAATAAAGAAAAATTTATATGAAAAAATAGATAAAATGATTTTCTACAGTAACTTCAGCCATTAAAGTCACAAAAGTAACTTCAACCTTACTTTTTCTTATCATTACACAATTTAGCGCGCGAAATCAAAAGGTACGTGTTTGGTGAAAAAGTTGACCGATAAGACTGATAAGCCGAAAAACATGACTACCAAACGGGCTCTTAAACTTCTTCTAGTTTAGTCCTTTCCTCTACATAGGTCAGCTATTGCTTTCCTCTTCCTTCAATTGTCCGTCCCCTAGTAACCTATTCATTTTTTGTTAAAAGATCGAAGGGAGCCAATTTGGAATTCAATTACATATACGTAGTACTATGTATCTACTATATATGTATAATATACATACCAATATTTTAAAATTTGGGACCCCTTTTTTTGTAATTTTGAGGCCCTCATGCTTAAGCCTCACTAGCCTCCACAAAGGCATGACTCTGTGTCACCCCCACGCACATGAGAGACTTGAACAGACCCAAGGGTGTCATGTTGCCCTGAATTGTCAATCGACATATCATCATTTTACAGGTCAACATTCAGCATACGATGATCACGAGGGGTTCAGCCTTGGCCTCGTTCTCGACTACGACTTGATTAGTTTGAGTTATGCGATGAATTTGTCATCTAAGATTTATAAAGGTAAGTAAAATAAATCTGTTTATTTTGTACTACCTTCGTCCCTTAAAACTTTGCCAAAGTTGAACGGCACGGACAATAATAAAGTAAAAAATGTGTGGTTGAGTTTTGTGCAGAGGAGAGAGAAATAACAGAAACCACAAAATAATTAATTAAAAGGGAAAGTGGTGAAGTTTTTTGGGACGTCCCAAAAAGGAAAGATGACAAAGTTTTAAGGTGAAAGTGTGTTTTTGCAAATATGGTATTGATCCATGCTTTCACTCTTTTAGACAAAACTTTATTATGCTATTTTAAAGATGACAATGTTTTTTAGACACAGTAATATGCACTTATATATTCTTAGTGCATAAACTTACATTTTTATATTTATTTGTGATGTATTTTTACATTTGTTATGCAAGTGTTTAGTCGTTAGATTGATTTGATCGTAATTGTGTTTTTAGCATTTAATTGTATGTTGTAGGAAGTAGTTAGTTATGATATAAGTTTAGGATAAGTTTGGAAGCAAAAAAGATGAAGAAACATGAGTTTAGTGTAAAACCCGGCCGGCTATGGCCTTTACCCGGTCGAGTTTGAAGTGAAAAATGAAGTTGATGGGAAAATAAACTAATACCCGGTCAGGTATCCCATACACCCGGTCGGGTATGATATGATTTCGAAGCAAAAAGACGTGTGGAAGAACACAACGACGTGGGAAAAAGATTTGACAAATACCCGGTCGGGTATCTCAAATACCCTGCATAGTTGATGCTAAACACCTATAAATAGCACCATTTTCCTTCTCTTTTAAATATTCCTTCTTCCATACACTTAAGCTCAACTTAGAATAATATTTTCTTTATATTTTTCTAGCATTGTTTAGTCTATAAATGGGGAGCTAAACTTCCATTTCTTGGTCTTGCTCTTGAAGCTTGTTGAATATTAAAGTTGTGAGTTATTTTCTTAACTTCTTCTCTTGAATATTAATTCTTTCCTTAATCTTATTTCTATAATAATGTTGGGGTGTGACTAAGTGACAATTAGTTAACACTTCGACATTAATTATTACTAGAAACGATCAACGAACCGATGGTTAATCGTTGATAGTTTCACAATATCAAGTAAGTAATTTCGGTTTATTAATGCACCGTCGTGGTTGATAAACTTAGGAGGGATTAATTGTGTTGGTTAAACCGA